CACTCACAGGTKCTGGGGTCAAGGTGTGGACAGGACCTGCCTCTTACAATGGTGTCCAGCTCCCTCCACGGGCTCCAGGGAGCTCCTCCTGCCTCTCTCAGCTCCTGGGGTTCCAGGTGGCCCTTGGCAGAACAATATGGTGACCCCTCAAAAGCTTAAGACTGAATCACAATATGACCCAGCAATGCCACCGCTGGGTTCAGACCCAAAGGATTTGGAAGCAGTGAGTCCAAAAGACACTCACATATCCTGAGTTCACAGAAACCCTGATCCGCAGTATGACTGAGGACTAGGGCAAAAATCATGTCTTAGTGGGGTGTGGGGGAGCCAGGGCCAAAATGGGGGCTTATGGAGGCCAGAGGGTCTTAGAAAGTGTGGGGAGTTTTCTTATTTTGCCTAAGCTGTGTACATGATTTCATAAAGCCTTGTAAAACTGTACTCTGTTTTAAGCCCTTTATTCTCAGGGTTAGCAAGTCACAAGAATTTTACCGCAAATCCATCAGCATGCATCTGTCTATATATCTATCCATCTGTCTATGTACCAGCCATCCCTCCTTCCACCCATCTCTCCATTTTCTCACACATGCATGATGTATTGGTCTATCTACACACCCATCTACCCATTACCAATCCATCTATCCATCCATTCACCCATCCACCCATCTACCCATCCACCAATCTATACAGTCATCTACCCATACACCCATCCATCCATTCATCCACCTATCCACCAGCCCATCCACCCATCCACTCACCCACCCACCCACCAATCCACCCATCCATCCACACCTATCCACTCATCTGCCTCTCCATTCACACATCCACCAATCTGTCCATCCACCATCTACTCATCCACCCATCCACCCCTCAACCCACCCATCCACCATCCACCCATTCATCCATCCATCCAACCATCTACTCACCCACACACCCATCCTCTTATCCACCCCTCCATCCACCCATCTACCCATCCATCCACCCATCACTAATCCATCTTTCATTCATGCATCCTCCCCTCCATCTACCCATCCACCTATCCATCCAACCATCCAGCCATACACCATTCCAGCCATCTGTTAGGTCGGTGGTGGCAACTTAGTGGCAACTTAGAACAAAGCAGCCCGCACCGGAAAGAACATCAATCAGATGCCGGTGGAAACGCCTGTCAATCAGCCAGATCTCCTGACTAACGCCTGTCAATCAGCCAGATCTTCTGACTAACGCCTGTCAATCAGCAGGACCCCCTGGCCAATCCTGGAGTTCAGGCAACTCCCCTGACCAACTCCAAGGGTACAAGGGACCCTAAAAACACCCTTTTCCTGTCCCAAGCCCTTCCCTTCCTGCTGTAAGCCCCATAAAAGTCCAGTCCTGTCGAGCTTCCACGCGGTGTCTCCTCAGACCCTTCTCCTGTCCCCTCTGTGGGTCTGATGGAGTTCTGCCCCGGAGTGATATCTCAATAAAGCCTGTTCAGCCGCCCTTTTAAATCTGCCTCCTTTGGCCATCTGACACCCGACTGATCTGACACCATCCAACCACACATCTACCCATATATTCCTCCACCCATCCATTCACCCATTTACCCATCCACGAATTCATCTTCCATCCACCCATCCTCCTCTCCATCACCCATCCATTCATCCTTCCAACCATCCACCCCTTCATCCAACCATTCATCCATCCACATGTCCATCCATCCAACCATCCATCCCCCATCTATCCTTCCATCTACCCATCCACCCATCGAACCATCCACTTCTCCATCCACCCACCCACCCATCCATTGATTCATCCATCCATCCACCCCTCCATCCACCCATCCACCTATCCATTGACTCATCCATCCACCCATCCAACCATCTGTCCACGCATCCATCCACATCCATCCACGCAGGCCTGCCCTCATCCACCAACCCATTCAGCCATCCATCCACTCATTAACATATCAGTGTGTCTGTCTGTCCATTTGTCCATCTATATACCTACACCTACATACACACTAAACATACCAGCCTTAGCTGTGGATTCCAGATCCAGCTGGGCCTGCAGGAAGTGAGACTGTCTGCAAAAAAGTGAGACTTTTTTTTTTTTTTTTAGTGTCAATGAACCTTTATTTATTTACATGTGGTCCTGGGAATCTAACCCAGTGCCTCACCCATGCCCGTGGGTGCTAGACCCTCTCCACCAAACCCTGAGCACACCCGGGTCCCATTCTGCTCCTGAGCCCCAGGCCAGGTGCAGTGCCTCCCCGTGCCCTGGGTCTCGGGGAGGAATTGCACTTCTCTCCCTTGCTCCCAGGGTACCTTCAATGTCACATGCTGTGGGAGCTCCGTCCTCCAGGGAACTCCCAGCACAGCAGCTCTGTTCCAGCCCATTTAAAGATGAGGCCCTGAGCAGCTCAGGGAGACCCTGTCTCTAAATAAAATACAAAATAGGGCTCTGGATGGGGCTCAGTGGTTGAGTGCCCTGAGTTCAATCCCTGGTTCCCCAGTGTTATGCTCAAATTCGGGACCCCCATGGGCTGGAGATGTGGCTCAGCGGTAGCGCGCTCGCCTGGCATGTGTGCGGCCCAGGTTCGATCCTCAGCACCACATACCAACAAAGATGTTGTGTCCACCGAGAACTAAAAAATAAATAAATATTAAAAATTCTCTCTCTCTCTCTCTCCTCTCTCACTCTCTAAAAAAAAAAAAAAATCGGGACCCCTAAAAGACCACCAGAGACCAAGATTGGAAGTAAGCAGCAAAGAGATGTTTATTGCGAGCTAGCTCAGTCCTCCGCGTGCACACCGCAACTGGTGACGCTGAGAGGCCCCGAGCCCAGGGTTTGCAGCAGTTTTATACACTCTCTGGGGGAAGGCAGGGACTTCACATACATCATAGCATCTCTTAGCAAATCATCACACACCGTGGGGAAAATCAAATAACAACTCTAAAACATGATTAGCACATTCACCGGCGGGAACAAGTTGGGTTAAGGGTGATTGGTGAGCTCAAGAGGGGGATTCCTTTGAACTGATTGGTTTAAGCCAAGAGGAGTGTTCCTACTGAACTATGGGGTTTCCCAACACCACAAAGTACTGGGAGGGTCATCTGGCATCCCAGGTATTTCCCTGTCTCATGCTGATTGGTGGCTGCTAGGGGGTTGCTATGGGTCCCCACCTAGCCTGACTGAGTCAGGGTCACCTGGCACAGCCAATCTCTCCTGTTATTTGTAGATAAACAACTCAGCAGGGTGGGTATGTGCCTAGGAGTGCTCTGTGGGTCTTTCCAAGGACAAAGGTCATGTCCCTTCCTTGGACAGGCTTTGCTCTGAGGTAGAGGTTTGTTTTTCACCCCACCCCTCCAAAAAAAAAAAAAAAAAAAGCCCCCTGTTCCTGCTGATGGGCAGAGTCGTGGCCTCTGGGACGGTAGCTCCTGTGCCTCTCCTTTGCTAACAAAGCAATAAACTCTGCCCCCACCAAAGCTGTGTCCTCATTATTGGATTGGCACTGGGGACAAGGATGGAGCTTTCAGTAACTCCTTAACCTCATGTTTTCACCCCCCACAGCTGTTATCTGTCAGGAAATTTTTGGTTTTGAAACATTTTGCCTAATTTTAGTAAAGATGCTGTAGCACAGCCTTCTCATGCTTGCTCAGAAGACCCAACTCAGGGCATTCCACCACTGAGCCACGACCCCCGTCGTATTTTCTATTGTATTTACAGACAGGGCTTCTCATAGTTCTTAGGGCCTCACCATGGCTGAGGCTGACATTGCACTCATGATCCTCCTGCCTCAGCCTCCCAAGCAGCTGGGATTATAGGTGTGCACCACCACAGCAGACAAGACTATGTTTATTGAGGAGACCCTGGGTCCTGGGAGCAGAGATGTCATAGAATCTCAGAAAGTAAGTATGTTKTGTGCTGCTAGGTAGACTATCAAATGTACTGAGCATGATCCTGGGTTACAAATGCTCTGGGGTCACAGGGAGCTGCTTCCCTGTGGAGAGGTATTTGAGGGWGGTTGCTTGAATAGGGGAAGGTGAGAAAGTTCAAGACATCACATAACAGAGAATACTGTTATCTAATAACAGTTAAATCCTAATGCAATAAAACATAAGCTCTACATTATGATTTCCAGCCTATTTTAATGCACAATGTCAATAATCATGTTGAAGTCAGGTGTAGCRGTGCAYACCGATAATTCTAGTGACTCGGGAGGCTGAGGAAAGAGGACTGCAACTTGGGAGTCAGGCTCAGCAACTTAGCAAGGCCCTAAACAACTTAGAGTCTGTCTCAAAATAAAATAATAACAGTTAAAATATTAATTTTCTTGATACATTTGCAGAATGGAAAACTTGGCACTTAATGGGTTCAGAACATGGAGCCTCTGTGGGGACTTGGGCCTCAAAGTCAACAGAGTCAAGGGTGTGGCTGGGTCTGAAGAAGGTGACCCATCCCAGAGGATGCTGAAGAACTTGTTACAGCAGCCCAGGGAGGCTAATACAGTGACCAGCAGCCCTCTGACCAGTGCAATGACCCGAGTGTGGGTGTCCCCCCAAAAGTTTTTATAGGACTCTTTACCCCCCTCCCAGTTGATGCTGTTAGGAAGAAAGGGCTTTGGGGAGGAGAGAGGGTCCTGAGGGCGGAGCTTTCCTTGCTACTGAGAGCGATAAGCAGAGACTTGATCTCTGGGCACATGCCATGTCTTATTGAATCAGGTTTGTCCCTCGGGGCTTTCCCCCTCTGCACCTGAAGTCTGTGCAATTTGGAAGCACCTTCTGTTTGCAGAGTGGCCTCCTCTGGGCTGGACCGGGGTCCTCTGTCCCAGCCTCTAATTGCAGGAGGTCCTGGGCTCTTTGCTGGGAGCCCAGAGTGGCCCCTGAGGGTGCGTTTCATTCAGTGTGCATTGTGCATAGTGACTTCATGTCGATGTGCGGAGTCACTGGTGACCACCCAACGGATGCCTGAGGTCAGTGTGAAGAGCTGTTTGGACCAGGCTCCGGCTCTTTCCACGTAGATGGTCACTGCCCTTGGTCCTCTGTGTCGCACCAGCACAGGGGGAAGGGGCCGCAGCAGGGCTGCAGCCACGGCCGCCACAGGTTGTTCAGGGTGCCCAGCTGCTGGCGAACAGTGCCCAGTGACCGCTGATGCTCCTCCACGGCCTGCCGGACTCTGCCCACCACTTGGTGGAACCGGGGCTCGGAGTCGGGCGTGAGGACGTGAGACTCAGAGGGGTCTCTGGAGAGGTCAAAGAGCAAAGGCGGGTCGTGCTGGACCACTCCTTCCCCGATGCAGGGGCAGACCACTTTCCCGTAGCAGGCTCCAGCACCCTCTGGCTGGAAGATGGGCGTCATAAAGTGCACCTTCCACAGGGTTGCTCCTGGTGGAGGGGCGAGAATCACAGAGAGATGACGTCAGGACAACAGCAGGACTCACCCACGTGTCCATCAAGAGGTGAATAGCACCAGGTGAGGGGGCCCATGCCTGTGATCCCAGTGGCTCGGGAGGCTGAGGCAGAAGGATCGAGAGTTCAAAGCCAGCCTCAGCCAAAGCGAAGCCCTAAGCAACTAAGTGAGACCCTGTCTCTAAATAAAATACAAACCAGGGCTGGAGACATCGCCCAGGGGTTGAATGCCCCTGGGCTCTATCCATAGTTACCCCTCTCTCCCAAAAAAGACCCGAATAGATATGATTTAATGCAGCCACTCTGTGGAATATTACACAGCCCTGAAAAAGAAGGAACCTCTGACATTGGCTATACCATATGTGAACCTGGAAAACACTATGCTCAGGAAAAGAAGGCTGATGCAGAGCCTGTGCAGGACTTTTTGTATGAAATGTGCAGAAATGAGCAAATCCACAGAAACAAACAATGGGGAGTCTGAGGAGGAGGAATAAATGCTAAGTAGGAGGGCTCCCTTTAGGGGGTGAGGAAAATGTTCAGGAACCAGATTGGGGTGGTGTTGTACTACACTGAATATATCAACTGCCCCTCATTGAACATTTGAAAACATTCAGTTTTATGATGTGCTTTATTTCAATATATATCTTTTTTAACTGAATTGCTTGCTTTCTTGATGCAAAAGAGTCGGACGTGACTGCATCATGGTCCAGAAAGCAAATCCACAGTAGCAAAGAGACAGGAAGGCAAAGGGATAGAGAGGCAAAGACAAATGTGGGGGGCAGAAAACAAGTATCGCTAAATGGGACAATTACCTGATTATGAAATTCTGAGACCTGGATTGATATTATTATTATTATTATTATTATTGTTGTTCTTGTTATTATTATTATTTAGTCCTGGCAATTGAACTCAGGGGTGCCTTACCACTGAGCCACATCCCTAGCCCTTTCTTTTTTCTTTTTTTTTTTTGTAAATTTTGAGTCAGATTCTAACTAAGAGGCTGAGGCTGGCCTTTACCTTTCGGTCCTCCTGCCTCAGCCTCCTGAGTGGCTGGGATTATAGGGGTGCACCCCTGCACCTGGTCAAGCACTGGATTTTAAAAAAAGAAGAATCAGTTCTGCTGCTGGCAAGTGGGTGAGGCAGAGAGGGTGAACATGGCCATGCGGAGGGGACAGTGAAAATGGGGTCAAGTGTCACTGAGTAAAAGTGACCTCAGGAGCAATCATGCACTGTCTAGAGCCACCAGAAGCCTCGTCACAGGGTGTTGGGTGTCTGTGTCTGTAAGGGACCTCGTTGTACTCACGGTCCTGGTCCCGTTGTTGCCACCGGGCTGCGTGCAGAAACCTCTGGCAGTAATGGAGCAGGAACTCGTGGTCCGAGTGCTGAGCGGTCCCCAGGAGCAAGGGCAGCAGGTCCCGGCCGTCAATCACTCTGCAGGGAGCACAGGACACTCAGCACCAGGGGGCGCCAAGGGGCCCTGCTGAGCGTATCCCAGGAGAGGAAGGAGAGTTGTGCAGGTGTGGAAGGGCTGGGGGGCCTGGGGGGCCCAGAAGCCTGGGGACATCGCCTTGGATACCATGTAACCAGCTTGTGGGTTTGACTGGCATCACTTTTAGATACAGTGTAACCAGCTCGCTTGTCTTGATGGGTGGCACCTTTGGATACAATGTAACCCGCTCACCTGGTTGCATTTGGCGACCCCCAACTTGCCTTGGAGGGGGAAAACTAAGCCAAGCCTCTCTATTTTACACGCCATTGACCTTGAGCCCCGTAGAATATGCCGTGTCCTTAAACAAGGCCGGGCAGCCCTGGCTCTCGGGGATGGTCACAGGGAGTGGCATCTCCTTATCTGTCCGCCCTGTCCTCTTCTCTTTGCAAATACAGCTCATCCGACCGCGCCCGCCCTGTTCTGTGTGGGAGGAGGTCAGCTTCGGGTACCAGGGACCTTGTCTGCAGGCTTGTGCCACCAAAGGCTGCGTCTACCTCTTCTGATTGGCAGTCACAGCTTTGCATAGTGCACTGCCCATCACTGTCCTGCAATGGGGACCGAGCGCAGGACCCCCCTGGACCCCAGTCCTGCAATCGGAGGACACTCATTTAAATGGTGTAGTATTTGCTAATAACCCATGTCCACGCTCCTACATACTTTAAATCAAATGCAAATGCCTCAGAATGCTGAATACGGTGCGAATGCTGTCTAAATAGTTATTCAGGACAGATGCAATTTTACTTTTTTTTTTTTTTTTTTTTTTAATTTGGTTTCAGAGATGGAACACAGGGTGCTTAACCACGGAGCCACAACCACAGGCCTATTTATTTATTTATTTTCGAGGCAGGGTCTCATTGATTTGCTAGAGCCTTGCTAAGTTGCTGAGGCTGGCCTCCAGTTTGTGATCCTCCTGCCTCAGCCTCCTGAGCCACTGGGATTACAGGCATGCACCACTGTGCCCAGCAATGCCAGTACTTTAATAATAATAATAATAATAATAATAATAATAATAATAATAATAAGGCTAATGGGGTTGTTAAAAGAAAACATCATGAAGCCTTTAAAATTGTTGTCCACACAGTTTCCTGATAAATATGAGAAGTAGATTTCTAGTGTGTATATGAGAATGTCTGAACATAATTAAATGGTACAGCTTTGATTCATGTTTTCATATATATCATGAATGGATCTGAAATGTGAGCTGTATGAATACATGTGCTAGGTGTCTCTCGTGTATAAATTAGATTCTGCTGCAGTATATTAAAATTCATGGACATGTGATTCAATTGCATGAGATATATGCATAAATTCGGGTATATACTTATACAGCTCTTGCCATTGGATGTGTCATGGGAGATATGCAAATACATGATAGGGTATATATTTGAGTATATAAATCTGAGTCTATCAATTGGACGATGTATACTGCATTGCACATAACACCGTGATTAAACTGCATGAGGTAGGCGCATATATTCAGATATAGCTGTGAGTACACATATATACCTCCACACACACACACACAGGGATATCTCATGCAATTGCTTGTGCAACTTGAGATCTGCAAATCCATCTCCCCACACACGTATTTTCTGTCCACAAAGTGGAACTGCTTTCTTTGGTCCCTTCTCTACCTGTCCTGGGGCACCTGGCCGCCCCCCAGCTGGACCACGGTGGGGAACACGTCCATCAGGCTGGTGGGCTCCTGGATCACTCGACCGGCAGGTAGCACCCCGGGCCACCGGAAGATCCCGGGGACACGGATGCCCCCTTCCCAGCCGCCCATGCCTTTGCCTCCTGTGAAGAGAAAATGATGTAGTATGAGATCAGCAGGCGTTGACCCAGGTGACTCCGAGTGGATGCAGGAGGGAGCTACCTCTGTCTGCTCAGGTGCGTTCAAATTGGCAGAAGGGGGAAGACAGAAGCAAAGGGTTTGGAAAGGGCCACGTCACGGACCCTCCAGGGGACACAGATGGAACATTGGCAGAGATGGAAACAGGATGCATTCAAGGTGGTGGGCACCTGGCATCGAACACAATGAGGCTGCCAGGTGCCCACCACCTTGAATGCATCCCTCCTAAAATCTGAACCTGGCACCCTTGGTGTGGACCATCCACTGGAGGGCAGATCATTTCTATAAAAAGGAACCAAGCCCTGGCATATCATGCCACAGGATCAACTTGGAAAACATGGTTCTTCAATCAAAGAAGCCCGACACCAAGGCCACACCACGGGGAACCTTCTATCTGGAGCAGGAAGAGATGGAGGGAGAGAAGAGGAGTTGGTGATTGGGGAGGCGGGGCACCCACAGATCAAGGAATGACTGCTAAAAGCACAGGGATTTTTTTTTTCCTAAGACAATGAAAATATTTTGAAATTCTACAGTGCTAATGGCTGCAGAGCTCTGTCAATATCCCCCAAACCACGTGTGCAAAAAAATTAAAAAATAAAAAAAAAATGTGAGCATGGCAATTAGAGTTTCTACAGTGTTTTGAGCTGGAAAGAAATTCAAGTCCATATGCACCCGTGTTTGCAAATTTGGGGGGTCAGGTGGTGCCTTTTCAATGCCAGGGTTGGGAAGGGCTGGGGAGAGGCCACTGGCCAGAGCGGATTGGGGCCCTTTGTGAGCCTCACCCTTGTAGACTCCATTCCAGCCTCCATATTGGTTGGTTCCCAGGCGAGACTCCAAGCATCCCCCGTGGTCCGAGGTGAAGTGGACGAGGGTCCGATCGGCCAGACCTTCCTGGTCTAACGTGTCAAGGATGTGTCCTGCAGAGGGCACAGCGTGGGGGCTGCTGGCCACAGAGTCGCGCCCAGAGCCAGCTCCTGGGTGTGCGGTCTCATGCATTTTTTGAAAAAGCTGCTCAAGTCAGTGTGTCGTGTCCGTGTCTAACGGGAGCCCGCGGGGGCATGATGGGGACAGCCTGGGCATTGGTGATCTGGGGCATTATCCCGGCTCCCAGTGGCATTGGTCCCAGGGCCTCTCTGGGGCATGGTTTGGTCTACATGCAGGACCAGGGCGTGGGCATCTCTCCCCGGGGCTTCTCCGGGGCAGGACACTCACCCACCATCCAATCCATCTCCTCCACGTTGTCCCCGTATAACCCGTGACGACTCCTCCCTAGGAAGCCTTTGGTGGTGACCAGAGGAACATGGACGTGCAGAAAGGAGACGAAGAGGAGGAAAGGCCCGTGCTTATTCCTAACAGTGAATGAGAGGCGAGGAGGAGTGTCCTTGCTATTGTGACAAATTCCATACTGAAGGCCAGGGGACCCTGAATGCGGGTCTAACCTGCCGCCTGTCTCTGCTTTTGTCCCCACAAAACTGCTCTTGGGCAGGAGGAGGATCTCATGTTTAAGAATCTTAAAGGGTAGGGCATGGTGACACATGCCTGTAACCACAGCAACTGGGGAGGTTGAGGCAGGAGGACTGCAAGATGGAGGACAGCCTCAGCAACTTAGTGAGGCCCTGAGCAATTCAGCAAGGCCCTGTCTCAAAATAATCAATCAATCAATCAATCAATCGAGCTGGGGGACTGGGGCTCAGTGGCAAAGGACCTCTGGGTTCAATCCCTAGTACAAAATAAAATAAAATAAAATAAAATAATAAAATAAAATAATAAAATAAAATAAAATAGAATAAAATAGAAGAATAAAATAGAATAGAATAAAATAAAATAAAATAAAATAAATAAAATAAAATAGAATAGAATAAAATAGAATAAAAAAAGAATAGAATAGAATAAAATAAAATAAAATAAAATAAATAAAATAAAATAAAATAAAATAAAATAATAAAATAACATAATA